AAATGAATGTTTAACTAAATTAAGTAATTAACAATAGTACTATGAAAGAGGATTAGTCATTCATTAGTGAACCATATTCTAGGATGGAAGTTAATTAGTTTCTTTCACCATTCATTAGTTTTTATACTCCCTTGATCATATCATTAGACTCATTGTCCTGTGATTTCTTTTGATTGAATCCAAGTTTATTTGCTAGTTTAGTGTATCTTTTAATTGCAATGTTATATGCTTATTGTCTTGTTTTTGTTATTGCTTTGGTGTGTTTCATTATTTCACTTAGGATGTCAGTTTATAAAACCCATCAACTTCTATTTGTCTTAGCATAAGTGAAATCTACATAGCTTAGTGTGTTAATTTCATATCTTCTAGTAGTTCGACCCTTTGAAATGTTACAAACGACTAATGAGTGCTTTTGTTGGTGTGACTTAAGATTTATTTGAGTAATTGTATTACACCATAAACAACTACATTACGAAGGAACGCGCGAGAGTTATCGGAGTCGGTGAGATACAAGTGCGGCGAGAAGAGAAGAGACTCAGCCAGGAACAGGATCAGAGAGATCATAGGCTAAATTTGAATAGGATGACTCAGCGTCGAACCAATTACACCATCATACCTTTTTTATGCCTATGATAACTCGGGATGAGGCACTCCATTCTTGGGGTCAAATATAGACAAAGGATATGTAAGTGAATGACCAATCTTGTGGTGGTACGGAAGAACATATTCCGCGAACGATATCAAACTTACCATAGATAATCACTCCACAAAGCAGCCTCCTAAAGTCTCGACTAATAGGTGTTCCTGGGGCAAATAAAGCATATAATTGGCTTAAGTACAAGAAACAAAAAAAGGTATGAAGTTCTAATTGTACAATGCCTAGACAAGCAGAGGGAGAACTAGGCGTATCTTGCTATTCAAAGAAGGTTATAATGTATAGCTTGCGTGTGGGATTGACGAGATAGATTACTCTTGAAGAAGAAGGTAGAACGGGGATCTTTATAGGAGTGACTTGGGAAGTCCCATGACCGGGGTCAAGCTACAACTTGTGAATTATCAAAAAGATCGTTTTTTGCTTGCATAAAGCCCATTTCGGCAATCTCCTTCATGTGAGGCCGTTAGTCCTTTTGACATAAGATTCTCGGCCACCTCTGGTATGGGCGCTCAAGTTTACTTCAGCGAGATTCGTCTTGTAACGTCCCGACTGCCGTCGAGCTATCGGTATGCAGAGAAAATCCTCATCCCCTAACATACAAGGGAAATTCTCATCCCTTCTGAAGAAATCTTCAT